TAGACAAGGTGGGAACAAGGATCACTGTTAAAAATCGCTGTAAAGAAGCTGTGTCATGAATGGTTAAAGGACAAGGTCTTGGAGAAATTTAGGAAGACAAAAAGGAACATATTCATTGATTATAAAATTCAATACTATTCAAAATACAAGCCAATAACAGTTAGTAACACAAGCTAGTAACACAATGCATTTTTTAGTCATACGTCTTTTACATTTGCCCCAAATGTTTTGAGGAAATAAGCTGTTTTACCTTTTTCCTCTTGTAATGTTTTGTACCAGAGAAAACTTATTAGGGTCATTCACCTCATGTTTTTCTTCTCTATCAAAGAAAGCAAAATTTAACGTTATGGTAAACAAATTAGGTCAATATATACTCAGATTCTAAATACTTTTGTTTCGTTTAAAGAAAAACTGTTCCCTAGACCGGTGGTTCTCAAACTTTAATGTGTGTCAGAATCACCTGGAGGGTTTGTTAAAGCACAAATTGCTAAGTCTCACCCGCCAGAGTGTCTCATTTAATAGGGCTGGGGTGGGTCCAAGGTTCTGCGTTTCTAACAAGTTCCCAGGTCATCTGAGATTAGAGACCACACTTTAAGAACCACTAGTTTAGGCAATGGACATGTTTTTCCCTCTTCCCTTCCATTATTCTTTGATTTCTCTTCAAATTTTTGATGTCTCCTTCTCCCGAGTATCTCAGTGAGGATCAGATATATTCAATCTGCATTGCCTTTAAAGTTAAAAAAAAAAAAAGTCACAGTGATATTTGAAATAGAAATGCCACCAGCTGCAGGTGACATTTTAATTTAAAGGGAAAATGAAAGATCTTGAACATTGAACCCTCTTGTTTATTTCTCACCTGGACATCTTCACAAATGTTATTCTCATCACTCCCTCCCTGGTCCTCCCCCTCAGCCATACTATATATCCCGGTAGGAAGCCAGGCATTCTGCTCTTTCTTCAAAGCCTCACACAAGCCCCACCTCCATAGCCAAGCTTTCCCCAGTTTCCCAGCAGCCAGTGCCTTCTGTAGTATCAGGACTCCCATTAATTAGTGTCTATACTTCTCATCATACTGAATATGCGCTACCGTGTACTATTGGGCCGTTTATGTAAGCATGTATGTGTGTATTTTATGTATTATTTTTCTTCCCCATTCTGATGGGCAAGCCTCCCATCCTTTGACTTTCTGGCATCTCCATTGCTAAAGCCCCATGTTTTAAACCTAGTTCACCCTCAAGTATTTGATGCTAATGAGAGCAGCCAAGTGTGGAGACCAATAAAGCTGGTTTCTTTTTTGGGAGCTGATGTAGAATTTCTTCTCTCAACTACTCCCAGAAACAAAGTTAGCCGTAAAATCATAAGCCTAGAATGCTGAAAAAATCTTTTACTTATAAATGGAATAGTTGCAAAACTATAATTAGGCTAGAGGTGTGGACCTACCACATTTCAATCCGGATCCGGGCGATGTAGAAGTGGTAGTATCGAGAATGGCTTACTGTTTTCTTTACCATGCCGATACCGGGGAATAATTTGCTTTTGCCCCATCAACAATTAAAGCGCGCTTTCTGTATCGATGGTGGGTCTCCCATTCTGGGCTACAAGAGGGCCTACCCGAAGTCACACACCTGAATGATCTGTTTCTTGCAGACTTGCTTTCGGGACATTAAGATTTAGTTTGCTCAGCTTTTATAGAAGGATCCTACTAAATTGCCTCTGCCTTTGTACCTTTGCAATATTGTCACTGAAAGACCGTATCTCACAGGCTGACTAAATTGTCCCTTGAAAAAAAGGAAACAATACTTTCCATACACTGGCCAGATAATTTGCCAGGCGGATTTGTCTTGAAAGTAAAGAGCTCCATCTCTGATTTCATAACCTATTATTTCTTTGGATTTTTCAATAGTTTATGACTACGATTGTACTTGATTCTGCTGATGCTCACACCTTTTCCAGTGAGCAGAGCATATGTCACAGAACATTATCCAATGTGAACACAGCCCTTAAGCCATTTTAAGGCTTACACACATCATGTCAAGTGTGGCCCAGGTTAATTGACAAGGCTAACCACCGTCAGGCGGCAGAAGTGGCATCCGTGGACTACATATCTAAATCTGCCTTTGCCTCCTTCTGCTGGCTTCTGCTCTTCACGGCTCAGTCCAAGGACCACAAACCAGGCTAGCACGCACCAAGCAAACTGAAAGAATGTCTCATCTGGAGCACATCAACCCCTCCGGTTGGTCAACAAAAAGGGAGGCAGGCAAGTGAGGCAGCTTTAGGCAAACGTTTTGGGCATCACTTCCTCTCGCCAATTCCTGACCTGACCGCAGCCGGCTCCCAAATGCAAACTTCCCTTCCCGTTTTGCGGCCGTTACACTTGACACAAGTGTCCAGCTCCTCTGACGAGTGTTTGGTTGGCCCTAAAAAGGGCCTTTGGGGTCATCACACGTGAAACTGGAGCGGCAGCTTAGCCTCCGAAGCCGTAGAGGGTGCGTCCCTGGCGCTTGAGGGCGTAGACCACATCCATGGCGGTGACCGTCTTGCGCTTGGCGTGCTCCGTGTAGGTGACCGCGTCCCGAATGACGTTCTCCAGGAACACCTTCAACACACCCCGGGTCTCCTCGTAGATGAGGCCCGAAATCCGCTTGACTCCTCCACGCCGAGCAAGACGCCGGATGGCAGGCTTGGTGATGCCTTGGATGTTGTCTCGCAGGACTTTGCGGTGGCGCTTAGCGCCACCTTTGCCTAAGCCTTTCCCGCCCTTCCCTCTTCCAGACATGACTGGCACAGGTCGAAGACACAAGCTCTGGAACGGCTGAGGGCGGCTTCTTCCCTGATATACGAGAGGATCGGACCAGATTGAAAACCGAAAGCGCGCGGGCGGGAAGCGTTCTAAATTGTCCCCGCCCGCTCGGCATTTCGTCATTTCTTTTCTGCGGTTCCCCGTATCCCTCCTCCGCCCTCCACCGCCCCCTCTATCAGACTCTGACCTTTTTGAAAATCTATTGGCCATCGTCCCCGGGAGAATTCAGATCCAAACGCGAGGCCTCCGGATTCCGCAGCTGTTTTCGCCTCTGTCTCTCTCTCCGTCTCTAGGCTCCCGGAAGGCACTGAATTTAGGCTAAGAGGAAAGGTCTTGCTGGTGGGAGGAGACCAGAAGAGGCGCACGTGGAGTCCAGAGACGAGAAGGAGGAGAGGGCGCCAGCGCCGGGTCTGAGCCCGACCAGAGGAGCCCGGGCTTCCGAACCGTGTTCCATAAAACCGCAACGGCAGCAGTTCCGAGAATCAGACTGACAGACCGATGAGGGGATCGCAGGAGCAGGGCACCTGGGGTGTGGGGGGAGGGGGAGGTCGCCCTAATTCCTGAGTCTAGTCTCGGTTTTGTTGGTCTGAGGCATGGGATTTCACCTCACCCAGGAGAAATCGGATCCTAGGAAAACTCGGCTCACCATACCGCCTTCTCGTGGGGATCAGTGAATCCACCGCTCCGCTGAAAGAAGCAACATGTACAGAAGGAAGACTGAAGGATATTCCGTACCTACGTCTCTACAGATCCTCTAAAATCCACCCTTTTCAGCCAGGGTTCAATGCCCAAATTGTGTCCCCACTGAGGCCCCACGTGGAGCTGGCGAAGTTTGCTGAATTGAGTTTTGCAAGAGGACAGCTGCTCCATAGGGAGAATCCACAGATGTTGTGCTTTCTGCATCGGAAAGAATTGGCTTTTTCTGAGAAATGTTTATTATTTTAAAAAATCTTGTGTGCCTTTTTGCATCTCTCCTTTGGTTCTACCTTCTATATGGTAATGAATCCCAAATCTGTATCTGCATCCAGACTTCTAGGCTCCAGGCACGTAGATCTTCCTGGTTGTTCTTTAGTCGTTTTAAACTTAAAACCCCAAATCTCCCCAAATCAAAATATTTAAACTTAAAATCTCCAAGGTGTGACTCTCATGGGTGCTGAGGGAATTCATTCTGCTCCTTCTCCCCATCATCAACCGGGTTCTGTGTCTGCTCGTTGAATGGTGCCACCGTGCACCACGTGCCTAAGCCAGCACCCTGGAATTCACGCTAGGTGTCGAAGGGTGGTAGACCATGCCACCCCAACATATGACTGTAGGAGTTCAGGACATGCCACCCCAAAATATGTTGCTTTGGTATATTGAGTATTTCGAGCTGTAGGCACTTGAAAAACAGCAAATGCAGGGACAGACTTCCTTTGAACTCCTCTTATCTGCCTAAAGATAGGGCCTCCAAAAGGAACTCGGTTGACATAAACCCCCTTCCCGGGAGTTTCATCGACCAGGGGAGACTGACTCTTGTCGCAGGAGAGAAGACTAGAAGTCCACACCACTCTCAGACAAACTTCGTCACCAACTATCATACGTCCCGTCTATTCTAAGGGCCCGTTCATCTTTCGTAAAAATCATTTACTCTCCCTTAGGAGGCCTACCTGCTCCCTCCCCTTTCTATTGAAGTCTGAACTCTAAGCCACCTCAGGGAGTTATTTATTTTTCCCCGGATATCTCCCATGTATAAATGTGGTATAGGTGTTACTAAACTTCTGTTTGTTTTCCTCCTGTTAGTCTGTCCTTCATTACAGGGGTCTCAACTAAGAACTCAGAAGAGTAGAGGGAAAATTATTTTCCTCCCCTACAATGTCTTCCTCTCCCTTGGCTGCTTCAGGGCAGAGAAGCACACTTGCTCTTTTCCGAGCCCTTAGCAACTCTTGCAGAATCGATCGCTTTATTTTACATCTCTTTTGCTCTTACACATTCCGCCCGCTCGACTGTCTGGCACTGATTTTTGTGTATTTTGCTTTGTCAACTGAATAGTTTTAAACACTAGTAGGAAAGAAAGGCACAACCGAATTGCAACATGATAAAACAGCCACAGGCCAAGGCTGACAGAAGTGATGGATTTTGGCGTCAGAGAGGACAGAACCCTAGGCACAATCAGAGATAGTCTAAAAACTTCCCTTTCGATACTGCATCCTCCTCCGAGGGGCCTAATCACCCATTACCTAAACAAAATTATCTCCAGAATAAACTCTCCCTTTCCCTGTTGCAAGTAAACTCAGACTGAAGAAGCAATTCACATGCAGGTGTGAATGACTACCTGGGGTATTTATAGCAAGATGTGACTCTGATGGGGGGTGGTAGTGGGAGATTGAATCTAACTGGTGGGATTAATAGAGTGGTTATTTTTGAGTGGGAGTGGGTTTCCCTATAGCCTCTAAAAACATTCTTCCTAAAAGAACAAGGATTGGCAATTCTCTCCAAGAGAAGTTTGGGGGGAAAGTGGTATAGAAGACTGTGAGAAGCTCCCAGCTTGCTTAGTGCTCAATGCAGGTGCTAGCCCAGCACAGCTAGCACAGGTTTGGGGTTTCTTCTGACAGTCAGGCAGCTGCTTTGCTCTAAGTCATGCTAGGCAGCCACTTTTAGCCGTGGGCAGGAGTCAGCCGAACAGTTTGATGGAGAACTGACATCTGCCATGCACTGCCTGTTAAATCTTAACATCTCTCATCTGAACTACTTTGCAAAACTCGATCAGAATTTCTTTTTGATTGATTCTCCACCAGGTCACAGAGTTATCTTGCTTAAAAACCATTGCTTCTCAACCTAATAAGATTCTATAATAGTGCATTGAGTCTCCTTCAACCTTGTCCCCGCCTGCCTTTCCGGAACTGTCCAGTTGCCACATCCTTCCCACCCACTCTAGCCACAACAACTACTCTATAGATCCTGAGCTCTATGGATACTATGGTTTACGTAGCCTTTTACATGTGAAGTTTTTCAAGCGTCCGGTTTGGGAGGCTGCTGGTATGTGGGGGAAAAAAATTAAAATAGGCTTATAAAATTTTAGCATATTTTCAGGAATTACGTTTAATTAATCAATGCTCTACACACACAATTACAAGGCAACGTACAATTTCATCTGTAGATTATATCAAAAGTCTAACTTAGAAGTCATCCACGAATTTGAGACTTGTGTCACGGTCCTTCTGAGTTTCCTACAATAGGCCCTATTGGGTCACACCTTTGCTTCCTGCCTCCATATATGCTGTTTCCTTAGTCTAGTTTATCTTTTTATTCTGTTTGATAAAATTCCTTTTTAAGGCATGGCTTAAATATCAATTTCCAAATTCTTTCCTTCTTCCACTTCCCATACATACTTTGGGTATATTTTTTATCAATAATACTATTAATTGCTATATTTTAATGAATTCCTTCCTTGTTCCAGGCTCTATGAAACATTTTTCGTGGATTGTCTTATTTAATTCTCAGAGCAACCCTATGAGGTATCTAATATTTGCCTTTCACTTTGCCAGTGAGAAGACTGTTGGTTTCTGAGTTCCCCAGGGGAAGGAGTGGGAGAGATGTGGGCTGGAATCTTTCTCCACCACTTTCCTCATCTGTAAAATGGGGCTTATAATACTTTTCTCTCAAGCCTGTGAGTATGAAATGAACGAATATAGGTATACTGTTGATTACAAAAATTAAATGAAAGGAATGTTGAGGAAGACGATACACTAAAAAAAAATAGCCCTTTTCTTTTTTTTTGGAAAAAAGGCTATCCATCAGTTGAGTTGTGAGCATTTTGTTCTAATTTTCCCCAGAAACCAGAAGTATTAAGCATCATGCTAACATCTGTGGCCTGAACACACACACACACACACACAAAGTCCAAGTCGTTTCTTTTTTTTTTTTT